TTAGATTATCGGAGCATTCTAATTATTAAACATCTATATAAATGAAGTTGAAAAACATTCCCACAGCAAAAGAAAGATGTCATGTATAAATTTTGACTTTTTATCATGCTTTGTCTTAGGAGACCGTTTCATTAAACGACCGTTTTGGGTGTTTCCCTTGCGCATTCGCTTAATACAAGCTTGACTGTATTTGATTTGTCAGTGTAAAACTTTTCCATGGTATTTTAGCTCAACTATTTGAAGAATATGAGAGCTATTGTAGTCGCGTCCACGTCAGCGTCTGCGTTGGTTAAAGTTTTTTATAAAGTCAAATATCTCAATTATTGCTTGAGATATTCAATTGAAACTTACAATACTTATTTATAGTAACAAGGTACATCAGATTGACAAGTTGGATAACTCTGCCTACAATATTTACAGAATTAAGCCCCTTTTTAACTTAGAAATTTTGGTTAAAGTTTTTTTGTAAAGTCAAATATCACAATTATTGCTTGAGATATTCAATTGAAATTTACAATACCTTTTTATAGTGACAATGTACATTAGTTTGCAAAATTGCATAACTCTGCCTGCAATATTTGCAGAATTATTTGCCCCTTTGAAACTTAGAAATTTTGGTTATTCAAAGATATTTACTTGAAACTTTACACATGTACTTAGGGTCATAATTGGAGGGTCATAATTGTATGTCACTGACCAAGTCCATAACTCTATCTTGCATTTAGGCTGATTCATCTCCCCTTTTCTACTTAGTCTCTTACATATCTCAATAACTTTTAAAGATATTTATTTAAAACTTCACTTATGCATTTAGGGTCATAATTGTAGGTCACTGACCAAGATCCATAATTCTGCCTTGCATTTAGGCTGATTTTTCTCCCCTTTTTCAACTTAGAAATTCATGGTAAAGTTTTGCTTGTAAGCTGTTATCTCCATAACTACTGAAGGGTTTGTGCCTTTTTGGGGACAATTTTATGCATTCATAATAATAAAGCAGTAATATACTTGATAAAACATCTTAATAACAAGCCTTTGTACCTTTTTGGTCAATTTTATGTATTCATAGGTAATTAGCATTATTAGACTCAATAAAACACCCTTGTGACAACTTTTTCGAATAGTCGAGCCAATACTGTCCTACGACAGTTCTTGTTTTTTTTTATGCTCCCCGAAAAATTTCGGGGGAGCATATAGTCGCCGGGTTGTCCGCCCATCCGTCCGTCAGTCTGTCTGTACGTAGGAACCCAGAAGTACTTGTGTGACTTGGTTAACAATGGGTAACAGTAAATTCTCTTTGATCCTATTTATTCAGTTTTTACTTGTGTGTCTTTTTTATGCCCCCACAAAGTGGGACCATATAGCGTTGCACTTGTCCGTCCGTCAGTCAGTCCGTCCGTCCGTCTGTCTGTACGTACGTCCCGAAATCTTGTGAACGCAACTCCTCTTAAACCGGATGGCAGATTTTGCTTAAACTTTCAGGGATGAACAACCTTAATGTGTAGATGGTAGTAAAGGAAGGAATTTTCGCTGTGACCAAATTTAACAGAATTATGGCCCTTTGTTGATTTTTTCAATATATACTATGTAGAAATTTTGTGAACGCAACTCCTCTTAAACCGGATGGCAGAATTTGCTTAAACCTTCGGGGATGAACAGCCTTAATGTGTAGATGGTAGTAAAGGAAGGAATTTTTGCTGCGTCTAAATTTAACAGAATTATGGCCCTTTGTTGATTTTTTCACTATATACTATGTAAAAATTTTGTGAACGCAACTCCTCTTAAACCGGATGGCAGATTTTGCTTAAACTTCCAGGAATGAACAACCTTAATGTGTAGATGGCAATAAAGGAGGAAATTTTTGCTGCGACCAAATTTACTAGAATTATGGCCCTTTTTTGATTTTCACTATATACCATATAGAAATTTTGTGAACGCAACCTTTAAACCAAATGGCAGATTTTAATAACAAATTCCACATAAAAATATTACATACAGAATGATATGCATGCTCTTAGTGTTTACGAGCACATCTGCACAGTGGGGGCATCCGTGTCCTTTGGACACAGTTCTAGTTTAAGCCTTGTGTGACTAAAAATGGCCAAAAAGATCAAAGGAAAGTCACATAAGTACCATTTTGTGAGTATGTCCCGAATTCGTGTCTGACCCATAACTTTGTTATTTGAAGTCAGATTTTACAACTATTTCACAGAAATGATCACCATATTGAGACGACGTGTCGCCAGCAAATTTGGGTCGCTACCCTGAAGGTCAAGGTCACAGCATGACCTTGCAGCAAAATCTTGTCCGGCCCATAACTTTGTTATTTGAAGTCATATTTTACAACTATTTCACAGAAATGATCACCATATTAAGACGACGTGTGGTGTGCAACATTTAGGTCGCTACCTTGAAGGTCAAGGTCACACCATAACATTGAAGCAAAATCATGTCCGGCCCATAACTTTGTTTTTTGAAGTCGGATTTTACAATTATTTCACAGAAATGATCACCATATTGAGATGACGTGTCGCGCGCAACATTTGGGTCGCTACCTTGAAGCTCAAGGTCACAGCATGACCTTGCAGCAAAATGGTGTTCGGCCCATAACTTTGTTATTTGAAGTTGGATTTCACAACTTATAATTTCACATAAATTATCACCATATTGAGACAATGTGTCACGCGTAACATTTGGGTTGCTACCTTGAAGGTCAAGGTCACAGCATGACCTTGCAGCAAAATGGTGTCCGGCCCATAACTTCGTTATTTGAAGTCGGATTAAATTACAACTATTTCTCAGAAATGATCACCATATTGAAAGGATGTGTTGCGCGCAACATTTGGGATGCTACCTTGAAGGTCAAGGTCACAGTATGACCTTGCAGCAAAATTGTAGAGCTAGGTATGTCTGCACCAGTCTCTAACTGACCAACTTAAAATTTTCTTTTTTCAAAATTGATAAGGGACAGTGCCATAAATGGAAGCTGGACAAGTCCATTTAAGAAATTTTTGCAGGTTTAGGGTTGTTATAGTATCACATCTTGTGTCTTTGAAATTTGATTTTTTGTGTTGGTGCTTTACATATCCTTGTTTATATATATTCTATTCGCTAAAAGGTCATTCTAGACACATCTAGAAGGTACTAGTTTTATGTGTTTTAAAGACCAGTGCAAGATACAGAATTTTCCATTTTAAAATAAGTTATGGCTGTTTAATTGAATGATGCATATTGAATTTATTATTTGTTTATCTTATCAAATACAAACAAAATATGCTATCTTATCAAAATTAATGTTTAAATTCTAAGAATCAGTTTAGTATGGTTGTTTAAACATGTAACACGGCTATAAATTCCCTCTTTAAATGGTTAGCAGTATTGCTCACCGTGATACTCCTAACAAAATGTTGACACCATAGTGACATGTAAGTTTAAGTACAGACTCTTTTTACACTTTTATACACCACTGTATTTTACATTGCACCTTAAAGTCATGCATACCGCCTCTGTGGTCGAGGGGTTAGAGTCGATGACTTCTAATCCAGTTACCTCTCTGGCGTGGGTTCGATCCCCGGGAGTTGCTTTGGTAGTTTAGCGCGGAGGAAGGTAGTCTAGTACTGGTGTAACTCTCAAGGAGCGATGGTTAGGAAACTACCCGCCTATATGACTGAAATACTGTTGCGAAAAGGCGTAAAATGAAACAAACAAACAAAAGTCATGCATACTAAAAAGCATGCAACAATTGGACATGGTCACATGATTCTCTAATCTGTTTAATCTGTACTGTTAATGTATACCAGCATGTACAGTTTTAATGCAATAAATAACTTTTTTGCACGCTTTTTTAGCTCACCTGTCACAAAGTGACATGGTGAGATTTTGTGATCGCTTTTCATCCGGCGTTCGTCCATAAACTTTTACCTTAAACAACATCTCCTCATAAACCACTAAGCCAATTCCATCCAAACTTCATAGGAATGTTCCTTTGGTAGTCAACTTTAAAAATTGTTCAAAGAATAAAATAACATCCTTGCAGAACTCTGGTTGTCATGGCAACCAAAAGAAAAAACTTAAAAAATCTTCTATTAAAAAACTGAAAGAGCTAGAGCTAAAATATTTGGCATGCAACATCATCTAGCTAGTGTCTACTAAGTATGTTCAAATAAAAGCCCGGGGGTCAAAATTGGCCATTGATTTTCCTTATTTGTAGATAGTAAAAACTTAAAAAAAAACCAAAGACCTTGAGCTTAGATATTAAGAATGAAATATCTTCTAGTGGGTGTCTACCAAGTCTGTTCAAATAAAGGCCCTTGGGTCAAAATTGGCTCCGCCCCAAGGGGTCATTGTTTTTCTCTTTATGTTTATAGTAAAAACTTAAAAGATTTTCTTTTAAAGAACCCAAAGAGCTAGAGCTAAGATATTTAGCATGAAAATCTTCTAATGGGTGTCCACCAAGTTTGTTCTAATAAAGGCCCTTGTGTTAAAATTGGCCCTGCCCCGGGGTCATTGATTTTCCTCATATGTGTATAGTAAAAGCTTAAAAAACCTTCTTTTAATAAACCCAAAGAGCTAGAGTTTAGATACTTAGCATGAAATATCTTCTAATGGGTGTCTACTAAGTTTGTTCAAATAAAAGCCCTGGGGTTAAAATTAACCCCACAAGGGTGGGGGAGCATTGTTTTCCCTATATGTGTCTAGTAAAAACTTAAAAATTTTCTTTTAAAAACCCCAAAGAGGTAGAGCGTCAGTATTTTTCATGAAACATCTTCTAATGGGTGTTTACCAAGTTTGTTCAAATAAAAGCCCTGGTGTTTAAATTGGCTTCGCCCCTTGGGTCTATATACAGGTGAGTGATTCAGGGTCATCATGGCCCTCTTGTTTTCTGAGAATTTATGAGAATTAATAATTACTTTTAAATTATACTTCCCAGCCTGTGGAATTGTGATTTATGATATATGATGGAATTATTTTCTTTTTATGGTATAACTATTTTCATTATTCAGATGGAAATAGGGAAAGGATAGAGGATGAGGAGCAGCCACTTCAAGATATAGATGCTGGTATACAAGGTAATACTGGTTTGGTTTGTTGTTGTGTTAAGGGAGGTCCACGAAGGACATAATGCCACAAAACATACAATTATGTAGATCAACTGGGCCACTTAAAATGGGAAATATGAAAAAGATGATAAAGAATTAAAGATACATGTATATAGTAAAATTTGAATTAAAAATTAATAGTTTGTGCAATTCATAGGACGATATGAGTTCAAAGGATGTAAACATTTTTCATTTAAGGTCACATGCAAAAGATATAATTTTGGAAAAACAGAGTGAGCAAATGATCTGAATTTTGTACACTATTGCTATAGAGCTGCATTATATGATATAAAAATTACATATTATATATAATGTCAAAAAATCTCCCTTTAAAAGATACATTCAAGTCATGAAAGATTTCATCACTTGTGAAACATTTCTGGATAAGTACAACTCACTCAACATTAGGTCCTAATCTTTGAAAATCTCTTGTCACTTTGGTTATAGGAAGTAAAATCTATTTATTACAAAGAAAACAAAACTTTTTTCGAAACATTTTTGTCCGTATTCAAGATTTTATAAAAAAAATAATTTGGCTTTAACAAATTAGCAAGGTATAAATATTTTGAAAGGTAAATCCTCTTCTCAGCATAAAAATGCATTCTGAATGTTTACAGAATTTCAATGAAATTATCAACTGGACCTTCTACCAAAGCACTGTAGTTTAGTTAAACATACCCCCACAAACAAAGATTGGACAGACTGTCCCATCATCTCTCAGTCCATTTCTTTGTTTTTGTACAACTACTTGAGTTCAGAATGAGAAATTATAATCATTGTTATATTGCAAGTTCATATGGAGACCTCAGTTTGGATTGCTTTTGGAACCCATAGGGTCAAGGTCACTAGAAATGGTGTCCAGAAAATAACCATACTTAGGACTGAGATATTATAGTTAAACTTTGTTCATAGTGAAATTATGAGGAGACAGTCCTTGCTTGGGATTGCTTTTGATCTCCCTAGGGTTTAGGTCAAGGTCACTGACCTACAGAGAGATAGAGCTTCAGTATTTATCATGAAGCATTTTCTAATGGGTGTCTACCAAGTTTGTTTAAATAAAAGCCCTGGTGTTAAAATTGGCTTAGCCACTTGGGTCTATATACAGGTGAGCGATTCAGGGTCATCATGGCCCTCTTGTTTTCTGAGAATTTATGAGAATTAATAATTACTTTTAAATTATACTTCCCAGCCTGTGGAATTGTGATTTAAAATATATGATGGAATTATTTTCTTTTTATGGTATAACTATTTTCATTATTCAGATGGAAATAGGGAAAGGATAGAGGATGAGGAGCAGCCACTTCAAGATATAGATGCTGGTATACAAGGTAATACTGGTTTGGTTTGTTGTTGTGTTAAGGGAGGTCTATGAAGGACATAATGCCTCAAAACATAAAATTATGTAGATCAACTGGGCCACTTAAAATGGGAAATATGAAAAAGATGATAAAGAATTAAAGATACATGTATATAGTAAAATTTGAATTAAAAATTAATAGTTTGTGTAATTCATAGAACGATATGAGTTCAAAGGATGTAAACATTTTTCATTTAAGGTCACATGCAAAAGATATAATTTTGGAAAAACAGAGTGAGCAAATGATCTGAATTGTGTACACTATTGCTATAGAGCTGCATTATATGATATAAAAATTACATATTATATATAATGTCAAAAAATCTCCCTTTAAAAGATACATTCAAGTCATGAAAGATTTCATCACTTGTGAAACATCCATGGATAAGTACAACTCACTCAACATTAGGTCCTATTCTTTGAAAATCTCTTGTCACTTTGGTTATATGAAGTAAAATCTATTTATTACAAAGATAAACAAAACGTTTTTAGAAACATTTTTGTCCGTAATCGAGATTTTATAAAAAAATAATTTGGCTTTAACAAATTAGCAAGGTATAAATATTTTGAAAGGTAAATCCTCTTCTTAGCATAAAAATGCATTCTGAATTTTTACAGAATTTCAATGAAATTATCAACTGGACCTTCTACCAAAGCACTGTAGTTTAGTTAATCATACCCCCACAAACAAAGATTGGACAGACTGTCCCATCATCTCTCAGTCCATTTCTTTGTTTTTGTACAACTACTTGAGTTCAGAATGAGAAATTATAATCATTGTTATATTGCAAGTTCATATGGAGACCTCAGTTTGGATTGCTTTTGGAACCCATAGGGTCAAGGTCACTAGAAATGGTGTCCAGAAAATAACCATACTTAGGACTGACATATTATAGTTAAACTTTGTTCATAGTGAAATTATGAGGAGACAGTCCTTGCTTGGGATTGCTTTTGATCTCCCTAGGGTTTAGGTCAAGGTCACTGACCTTCAGAGAGCTAGAGCTCAGTATTTATCATGAAACATCTTCTAATGGGTGTCTACCAAGATTTGTTTAAATAAAAGCCCTGCCCCGCCCCGTGGGCTATATACAGGTGAGCGATTCAAAGCCATCATGGCCCTCTTGTTTTCTTGCATATAAGAATTAATAATTACCATTAAATTATACTTCCCAGCCTGTGGAATTATGATTCAAAATATATGATGAAATTATTTTCTTTTTATGGTATAACTATTTTCATTATTCAGATGGAAACAGAGAAGTGATAGAGGTTGAGGAGCAGCCACTTCAAGATATAGATGCTGGTATACAAGGTAATACTGGTTTGGTTTGTTGTTGTGTTAAGGGAGGTCCACGAAGGACATAATGCCTCAAAACATACAATTATGTAGATCAACTGGGCCACTTAAAATGGGAAATATGAAAAAGATGATAAAGAATTAAAGATACATGTATATAGTAAAATTTGAATTAAAAATTAATAGTTTGTGTAATTCATAGAACGATATGAGTTCAAAGGATGTAAACATTTTTCATTTAAGGTCACATGCAAAAGATATAATTTTGGAAAAACAGAGTGAGCAAATGATCTGAATTGTGTACACTATTGCTATAGAGCTGCATTATATGATATAAAAATTACATATTATATATAATGTCAAAAAATCTCCCTTTAAAAGATACATTCAAGTCATGAAAGATTTCATCACTTGTGAAACATCCATGGATAAGTACAACTCACTCAACATTAGGTCCTATTCTTTGAAAATCTCTTGTCACTTTGGTTATATGAAGTAAAATCTATTTATTACAAAGATAAACAAAACGTTTTTAGAAACATTTTTGTCCGTAATCGAGATTTTATAAAAAAATAATTTGGCTTTAACAAATTAGCAAGGTATAAATATTTTGAAAGGTAAATCCTCTTCTTAGCATAAAAATGCATTCTGAATTTTTACAGAATTTCAATGAAATTATCAACTGGACCTTCTACCAAAGCACTGTAGTTTAGTTAATCATACCCCCACAAACAAAGATTGGACAGACTGTCCCATCATCTCTCAGTCCATTTCTTTGTTTTTGTACAACTACTTGAGTTCAGAATGAGAAATTATAATCATTGTTATATTGCAAGTTCATATGGAGACCTCAGTTTGGATTGCTTTTGGAACCCATAGGGTCAAGGTCACTAGAAATGGTGTCCAGAAAATAACCATACTTAGGACTGACATATTATAGTTAAACTTTGTTCATAGTGAAATTATGAGGAGACAGTCCTTGCTTGGGATTGCTTTTGGTCTCCCTAGGGTTTAGGTCAAGGTCACTGACCTTCAGAGAGCTAGAGCTCCAGTATTTATCATGAAACATCTTCTAATGGGTGTCTACCAAGATTGTTCAAATAAAAGCCCTGCCCCGCCCCGTGGGCCTATATACAGGTGAGCGATTCAAAGCCATCATGGCCCTCTTGTTTTCTTTGCATATAAGAATTAATAATTACCATTAAATTATACTTCCCAGCCTGTGGAATTATGATTCAAAATATATGATGAAATTATTTTCATTTTATGGTATAACTATTTTCATTATTCAGATGGAAACAGAGAAGTGATAGAGGTTGAGGAGCAGCCACTTCAAGATATAGATGCTGGTATACAAGGTAATACTGGTTTGGTTTGTTGTTGTGTTAAGGGAGGTCCACGAAGGACATAATGCCTCAAAACATACAATTATGTAGATCAACTGGGCCACTTAAAATGGGAAATATGAAAAAGATGATAAAGAATTAAAGATACATGTATATAGTAAAATTTGAATTAAAAATTAATAGTTTGTGTAATTCATAGAACGATATGAGTTCAAAGGATGTAAACATTTTTCATTTAAGGTCACATGCAAAAGATATAATTTTGGAAAAACAGAGTGAGCAAATGATCTGAATTGTGTACACTATTGCTATAGAGCTGCATTATATGATATAAAAATTACATATTATATATAATGTCAAAAAATCTCCCTTTAAAAGATACATTCAAGTCATGAAAGATTTCATCACTTGTGAAACATCCATGGATAAGTACAACTCACTCAACATTAGGTCCTATTCTTTGAAAATCTCTTGTCACTTTGGTTATATGAAGTAAAATCTATTTATTACAAAGATAAACAAAACGTTTTTAGAAACATTTTTGTCCGTAATCGAGATTTTATAAAAAAATAATTTGGCTTTAACAAATTAGCAAGGTATAAATATTTTGAAAGGTAAATCCTCTTCTAAGCATAAAAATGCATTCTGAATTTTTACAGAATTTCAATGAAATTATCAACTGGACCTTCTACCAAAGCACTGTAGTTTAGTTAATCATACCCCCACAAACAAAGATTGGACAGACTGTCCCATCATCTCTCAGTCCATTTCTTTGTTTTTGTACAACTACTTGAGTTCAGAATGAGAAATTATAATCATTGTTATATTGCAAGTTCATATGGAGACCTCAGTTTGGATTGCTTTTGGAACCCATAGGGTCAAGGTCACTAGAAATGGTGTCCAGAAAATAACCATACTAAGGACTGACATATTATAGTTAAACTTTGTTCATAGTGAAATTATGAGGAGACAGTCCTTGCTTGGGATTGCTTTTGGTCTCCCTAGGGTTTAGGTCAAGGTCACTGACCTTCAGAGAGCTAGAGCTCCAGTATTTATCATGAAACATCTTCTAATGGGTGTCTACCAAGATTGTTCAAATAAAAGCCCTGCCCCGCCCCGTGGGCCTATATACAGGTGAGCGATTCAAAGCCATCATGGCCCTCTTGTTTTCTTTGCATATAAGAATTAATAATTACCATTAAATTATACTTCCCAGCCTGTGGAATTATGATTCAAAATATATGATGAAATTATTTTCATTTTATGGTATAACTATTTTCATTATTCAGATGGAAACAGAGAAGTGATAGAGGTTGAGGAGCAGCCACTTCAAGATATAGATGCTGGTATACAAGGTAATACTGGTTTGGTTTGTTGTTGTGTTAAGGGAGGTTCACGAAGGACATAATGCCTCAAAACATACAATTATGTAGATCAACTGGGCCACTTAAAATGGGAAATATGAAAAAGATTATAAAGAATTAAAGATACATGTTTATAGTAAAATTTGAATTAAAAATTAATAGTTTGTGCAATTCATAGAACAATATGAGTTCAAAGGATGTAAACATTTTTCATTTAAGGTCACATGCAAAAGATATAATTTTGGAAAAACAGAGTGAGCAAATGATCTGAATTTTGTACACTATTGCTATAGAGCTGCATTATATGATATAAAAATTACATATTATATATAATGTCAAAAAATCTCCCTTTAAAAGATACATTCAAGTCATGAAAGATTTCATCACTTGTGAAACATTTCTGGATAAGTACAACTCACTCAACATTAGGTCCTAATCTTTGAAAATCTCTTGTCACTTTGGTTATAGGAAGTAAAATCTATTGATAACAAAGATAAACAAAACGTTTTTAGAAACATTTTTGTCCGTAATCGAGATTTTATAAAAAAATAATTTGGCTTTAACAAATTACCAAGGTATAAATATTTTGAAAGGTAAATCCTCTTCTCAGCATAAAAATGCATTCTGAATTTTTACAAAATTTCAATGAAATTATCAACTGGACCTTCTACCAAAGCACTGTAGTTTAGTTTAACATACCCCCACAAACAAAGATTGGACAGACCGTCCCATCATCTCTCAGTCCATTTCTTTGTTTCTGAACAACTACTTGAGTTCAGAATGAGATATTATAATCATTGTTATATTGCAAGTTCATATGGAGACCTCAGTTTGGATTGCTTTTGGAACCCATAGGGTCAAGGTCACTAGAAATGGTGTCCAGAAAGTAACCATACTTAGGACCGAGATATTATAGTTAAACTTTGTTCATAGTGAAATTATGAGGAGACAGTCCTTGCTTGGGATTGCTTTTGGTCTCCCTAGGGTTTAGGTCAAGGTCACTGACCTACAGAGAGATAGAGCTTCAGTATTTATCATAAAGCATTTTCTAATGGGTATCTACCAAGTTTGTTTAAATAAAAGCCCTGGTGTTAAAATTGGCCCCGCCCCGTGGGCCTATATACAGATGAGCGATTCAGAGTCATCATGGCCCTTTTGTTTTCTTTGCATATGAGAATTAATAATTACCATTAAATTATACTTCCCAGCCAGTGGAATCGTGATTCAAAATATATGATGATTTTTTTTTCTTTTTATGGTATAACTATTTTCATTATTCAGATGGAAATAGGGAAAGGATAGAGGATGAGGAGCAGCCACTTCAAGATATAGATGCTGGTATACAAGGTAATACTGGTTTGTTTGTTGTTGTGTTAAGGGAGGTCCAGGAAGGACATAATGCCTCAAAACATACAATTATGTAGATCAACTGGGCCACTTAAAATTGGAAATATGAAAAAGATTATAAAGAATTAAAGATACATGTATATAGTAAAATTTGAATTAAAAATTAATAGTTTGTGCAATTCATAGAACGATATGAGTTCAAGGATGTAAACATTTTTCATTTAAGGTCACATGCAAAAGATATAATTTTGGAAAAACAGAGTGAGCAAATGATCTGAATTTTGTTCACTATTGCTATAGAGTTGCATTATATGATATAAAAATTACATATTATATAAAATGTAAAAAAATCTCCCTTTAAAAGATACATTCAAGTCATGAATGATTTCATCACTTGTGAAACATTTCTGGATAAGTACAACTCACTCAACATAAGGTCCTAATCTTTGAAAATCTCTTGTCACTTTGGTTATAGGAAGTAAAATCTATTTATTACAAAGATAAACAAAACGTTTTTAGAAACATTTTTGTCCGTTATCAAGATTTTATAAAAAAAATAATTTGGCTTTGACCTTTCACCCCTTGCAAGTTCATATGGAGACCTCGGTTTGGATTGCTTTTAGAACCCATAGGGTCAACGTCACTAGAAATGGTGTCCAGAAAATAACCATAGTTAGGACTGAGATATTATAGTTAAACTTTGTTCATAGAGAAATTATGAGGAGACAGTCCTTGCTTGGGATTGCTTTTGGTATCCCTAGGGTTTAGGTCAAGGTCACTGACCTACACTACTAAAATTAGTATTATGGTTTCCAGCCATGTGATATTGTTATCACAAACTTAGTATATAGCGAAATTATGTGGAGACCTGGCTTGGGATTGCTTTTGGTCAAGTCCAAAGTTTGCTTCAGACCACAAACTTTCTGTTACAGAGTCTTGACCTCTTTCTTATGCTGCGGTGGCATATAGCGATTCACCTGTGTGTTTGTGTGTGTGTTTGTATGTGTGTTTTATAGATTATATAGTGAACTTAAAAAAATCTTCTTGTGAAAAACCACAAGTCCAAATTCAACCAACTTTGGCAGGATTGATCCTTGGGTGAAGGGCTTCCAAAGTTGTTAAAAGAATTTCATTCCATGCAGAAATCTGGTTGCCATGGCAACCAAAAGGAATTATAAGAATAAATTTAAAAAATCTTCTTGTGAAGACCCAAAAGACCTAGAGCTTAGATATTTTACATAAGGCATTGTATTGTGGTCCTTTACCAAGATTGTTAAAATTATAGCCCTGGGGTCAAAATTGGCCCCAACCTGGGGGTCATTGATTTTCACTAAATGTACATATAGTAAAAACTTAAAATACCTTCTTGTCTGAAGGTACAAGGCTTAGAGCTTTGATATTTGGTATGTGGTATCATCTAAAAGGTACTCTACCAAAGTTGTTCAAATTTTGCCTCTAGTGTCAAAATCAGCCCGGCCCCGGGGTCATAGGTTTTCCTTATATGTATTTAGTAAAAACTTTAAAAAAAAATTCTTCTCGCAATTGACAAATGCTAGAGGTTAGATATTTTGCATGAAACATTCTTAAGTGAACCTCTAGCAAGATTGTTCAAATTATAGCCCTGGGGTCAAAATTGGCCCGCACCGGGGGTCATTGATTTTCACTATGTACATATAGTAAAAAATCAAAAAATCTTATTGTCTGAAGGTACAAGGCTTAGAGCTTTAATATTTGTCATATGATATCATCTATAGGTACTCTACCAAAGTTGTTCAAAATTTGCCTCTAGTGTCAAAATTAGCCCCACCGCGGGGTCATAGGTTTTACTCTATTTATTCTATTTATATAGTAAAATCTTAAAAAATCGTCTTCTCTAAATTGACAAAGGCTAGAGGTTAGATATTTTGCATGAAACATTGTGTAGTGAACCTCTAGCAAAATTGTTCAAATTATAGCCCTGGGGTCAAAATTGGCATTGGTCATTGATTTTCACTATGTACATACAGTAAAAATTTAAAAAATATGTCTGAAGGTACAAGACTTAGAGCTTTGATATTTGGTATATAATATCATCTATGGGTCCTCTACTAAAGTTGTTTTTATTATGCCCCTAGTGTTAAAATTGCGCTGCCCCAGAGGCGATAGTTTTCCTTATATGTATAAAGTAAAAACTTGAAAAATCTACTTCTCTGAATTGTCAAAGGCTAGAGGTTAAATATTTGGCATGAGACTTTGCAAAGTGAATTTCTACCAAGATTGTTCAAATAATAGCCCTTGGGTCAAATTTTGCCCCGCCCCGGGGCTCATTGATTTTCACTATGTACATATAGTAAAAAATTAAAAAATCTTTTTGTCTGAAGGTACAAGGCATAGAGCTTTGATGTTTGCTATATAATATCATCTATAGGTCCTCTACCAAAGTTGTTCAAATTTTTCCCCTGGTGTCAAACTTGGCCCTACCAAGGGGCATTGATTCTGTACACATAGTAAAAACAGAAACTAAAACAAATGTTTTCTGAATTGGAGAAAGCTATAAACAGAAACTAAAACAAATGTTACAGCTACAGCTTAGATATTTGACATGAAATGTTGTTTGGTGGACCTGTTTCAAGATTGTTTTGAATTAAACCCTTGGGTCAAAATTTTGCCTTGCCCAAGAGGACAGTGACCTACTTTCTTGTCCTTTGATGTACAGCAATCAAATTTTGACCATGTACACAGTTTTTGTTGTAAAATTGAACTTTGATATCAGGTGACCTAGATTTTGATGATGTGACCTACTTTCTTGTCCTTTGATGTAGGTAAGGGATCTATGCATTATGACAATCTTCAATTTTATAGAAACAAAAAAATATCTGTTCCTACACTATTATTTAGTATTAATGTGGTGGCATAGCATTTTTAGCTCGACTATTCGCAGAATAATCGAGCTAATGCAGTCACCCATTTGTCGGCGTCGGCGTCGGCGTCCCTGTGGTTAAGTTTTTGTATGTAAGCTGGTATCTCCATAACTACTGAAGGGAATGGATTGAAACTTCACACACTTGTTCTCTGTGATTATCTAAGATGATTGGCACAAGTCCCATAACTCTGATTTGCTTTTTTTCATAATTATGCCCCTTTTTCGACTTAGAAATTCTTGGTTAAGTTTTTGTATGTAAGCTGGTATCTCCATAACTACTGAAGGGAATGGATTGAAACTTCACACACTTGTTCTCTGTGATTATCTAAGATGATTGGCACAAGTCCCATAACTCTGATTTGCTTTTTTTTATAATTATGCCCCTTTTTCGACTTAGAAATTCTTGGTTAAGTTTTTGTATGTAAGCTGGTATCTCCATAACTACTGAAGGGAATGGATTGAAACTTCACACACTTGTTCTCTGTGATTATCTAAGATGATTGGCACAAGTCCCATAACTCTGATTTGCTTTTTTTCATAATTATGCCCCTTTTTCGACTTAGAAATTCTTGGTTAAGTTTTTGTATGTAAGCTGTTATCTCCATAACTACTGAAGGGAATTGATTGAAACTTCACACACTTGTTCTCTGTGATTATCTAAGATGATTGGCACAAGTCCCATAACTCTGATTTGCTATTTTACATAATTATGCCCCTTTTTCGACTTAGAAATTCTTGGTTAAGTTTTTGCGTGTAAGCTGGTATCTCCATAACTACTGAAGGGAATGGATTGAAACTTCACACACTTGTTCTCTGTGATTATCTAAGATAATTGCCACAAGTCCCATAACTCTGATTTGCTTTTTTACATAATTATGCCCCTTTTTCGACTTAGAAATTCTTGGTTAAGTTTTTGCATGTAAGCTGGTATCTCCATAACTACTGAAGGGAATGGATTGAAACTTCACACACTTGTTCTCTGTGATTATCTAAGATGATTGGCACAAGTGCCATAACTCTGATTTGCCTTTTTACATAATTATGCCCCTTTTTCGACTTAGAAATTCTTGGTTAAGTTTTTGCATGTAAGCTGGTATCTCCATAACTACTGAAGGGAATGGATTGAAACTTCACACACTTGGTCTCTGTGATTATCTAAGATGATTGGTACAAGTCCCATAACTCTGATTTGCTTTTTTTGCATAATTATGCCCCTTTTTCGACTCATGAATTCTTGGTAAAGTTTTTGCATGTAAGCTTGTCTCTCCATAACTACTGAAGGGAATGTATTGAAACTTGAAGAGTTTGTACCTTTTCGGACAATTTTATGTATTCATATAGGTAAGCATTATTATACTCAATGAAACACCCTTGTGACAAATTTTCGAATAGTTGAGCGTTACTGTCCTCCGACAGTTCTTGTTCACAAATGCAATCTTGTTTTTGGCTATTATTGGCTGTAACTTTGTTATTTTTGAATGGATTGTCTTCAAACTTGAACATGATTATCTTCAAGAATATCCCTTAAAAATAACCAGTCAGACCTTGATCTTCACTCATAAATGAGGTTGACTTTGAAGGTCAAATTATTAGCTCGACTATTCGCAGAATAATCGAGCTAATGCAGTCACCCATTTGTCGGCGTCGGCGTCCCTGTGGTTAAGTTTTTGCATGTAAGCTGGTATCTCCATAACTACTGAAGGGAATGGATTGAAACTTCACACACTTGTTCCCTGTGATTATCTTAGATGATTGGCACAAGTCCCATAACTCTGATTTGCTTTTTTACATAATTATGCCCCTTTTTCGACTTAGAAATTCTTGGTTAAGTTTTTGCGTGTAAGCTGGTATCTCCATAACTACTGAAGGGAATGGATTGAAACTTCACACACTTGTTCCCTGTGATTATCTAAGATGATTGGCACAAGTCCCATAACTCTGATTTGCTTTTTTACATAATTATGCCCCTTTTTCGACTTAGAAATTCTTGGTTAAGTTTTTGCGTGTAAGCTGGTATCTCCATAACTACTGAAGGGAATGGATTGAAACTTCACACACTTGTTCCCTGTGATTATCTAAGATGATTGGCACAAGTCCCATAACTCTGATTTGCTTTTTATATAATTATGCCCCTTTTTCAACTTAGAAATTCTTGGTTAAGTTTTGTGTGTAAGCTGGTATCTCCATAACTACTGAAGGGAATGGATTGAAACTTCACACACTTGTTTTCTGTGATTATCTTAGATGAATGGCACAAGTCCCATAACTCTGATTTGCTTTTTTGCATAATTATGCCCCTTTTTTGACTTAGATATTCTAGGTAAAATTTGCTTGTTAGACGGTATCTCCATAACTACTGAAGGGTTTGTACCTTTTCGGACAATTTTATGTATTCATATAGGTAAGCATTATTATACTCAATGAAACACCCTTGTGACAACTTTTCGAATAGTCGAGCGTTACTGTCCTCCAACAGTTCTTGTTAAAATTTTCATTTTTTGGCTGTAACTGGCTGTAACTTTGCTATTATTGAACGGATTGACTTTTTATTACAACAGAACATTCTTAACCCTGCCAGATGGTTGTTTATTTATTGATCACCTATTTGCCAGAGGGTTTTCTAAGAAATTACTATATTATAATATTAATATAATTATTATTATTTGTTATTAGTATTATAATAATTATATATATTTCCAAATCTGCTAGTATAATAATAATTATTGTTGATGGTATAATTATCTATATATTCATTATTATGATTATTATTATTATTTTTATAGAAACGGCTAAAGCCGTCCATATCGCAAATACACCGAAAATAATAGGGAGGGCATATGCCGTCCTTATGGCAGTGAAAGGGTTAAGGACAAGAATTTCATGTTTATCAAATTCAAATTGACTTGGGCTCTTTATGACCTTGACCTTGAAGGTTAAATTACTGAATTTACACTGATTTGTCAGTAAATGACCATATATATTTATTGGTGTATATACATGTATATATATATATATATATATATATATATATATATATATTGCGTATATATAATGCTTGTATATAATGCGTGTGTTATATATATATATATATATATATATATATATATATATATATATACTTTTTTTATGCCCCCGGGCATATAGTAATTGAACCGTCCATCCGTCTGTCCGTACGAGGTTAACCTAGGAAGTTGGATTTTTCTTAAGTTCTACCTGTACCAATGGCTTCTAAGTTTACATACTTACTAATCAATACAAAGTACATGACCTGGGCAAGTTACATAACTCTGGCTTTCATATTTACCAAGTTATTGCCCTTTTCAGCACTTAGAAAATGAATAATGGTTAACCTAAAACGGCAAGTTGGAAATATCTTAAGTTCTATCTATACTAATGGCTTTATAATTTCCACACTTACTTAACAATACAAAGTACATGATATTGCCAAGTTATATAACTGTGTCATCCATATTTCCTAGTTATTTCCCTTTTTACACTTTGAAAATAGGGCCTGGTCTGGTTAACCTATTTGGGCAAGTTGGATTTATCTTAAAGTTCTCCTAATTGCTTAATTTCTTTAATGATATCTTTCATATTTAGTAGGTGGATACCTTTGATGGTCCTCTAATTTTTTGTGGAGTAAGCGGTCTCTAGGGTCAAGGTCAAGGTCACTGGTTTAAAAAATAAATATTAACATTTTTGCACATACAGCCTTTATTTTTTAGTTGATGTCTTAGTTTAATACAAACATGTCAAGGGAGGTCCTCCTTTGGGTGTAGTAAGGGGTCATTTGGGTCAAGGTTAATGTTACCAATGTCAAGGTCACCAATGTTAAAAATAGATTTTTACATTTTTACAGAGGTATTGACCTTATTCTATAGACAGATGTTATTTATAATTGATAGAAACATAAACTTTGATGGAGTTAGTGGTCAGTTGGGTCAAGGTCACCAGTGCTAAAAATAGATTTTACACTTTTGCCCATACAGCCTTTATTTATTGACAGAGGTATTTCATATTTGGTAGGAAGATAACTTACATGGTATTCTTCTTTTGGATAGAGTTAGGGGTCAGTTTGGTCAAGGTCACCAGTGCTCAAAATAGATTTTTACACTTTTGCCCATACAGCCTTTATTTAATGACAGATGTATTTCATATTTGGTAGGAAGATAACTTGCATGAAGTTGAATATTTTTCAACTTCACAAGTCAGAGCAATGACTTGGCAACTTATATTTTTCACAATTACAAAATGCCATGACTTTGTCAAGCTATATAACTTGTGTTTACAATTTTTTGGCAATTTTTCTGTCCATAACTGAGTGAATGGGTAAACATTTTTTGAAATATTGCTACTGACAAGAATCTGAGCCGGGGGCATTTGTGTTTAACAAACACGTTCTTGTTTTCTTCTGTAATACACATGCAGATATATGTGGAAAGGATTCATACTTTGAAAAAACTAATGTGACAAGACAGACTGATTAAATTTATAAAAAGGAAACGTTAAAATGTGTTCAAACATTTCTTTGTTTGCTTTTAGAAAAATAAAAAGTCGAGCGTTGCCCCGCCCGGCGGTGGCTCTTGTTTGTTTATATGAGCTTATGGACTTATGTCCAGGTGTAGTTAATGAACTTATTTGCCTCTTAAATATCTAATGTTGGTATGTCTGTACAAACATATAGATACTTTGGTGGCTATAGGAACAATAGGTAATAGTAATTTTCCTTTGATGCTATTCATTCAGTAAGCTCTTATGTGGCTACATTTTCTCTTAAGTGGCTAAAAGAATAATAGAGAGAACAAAAGGGTAGCCACCCAAGTACCAAACTTTGAGATTGTCCGTCTGTTCTCATTTTGTGTCGAACGTAGCTCAAAAAGTATTTGACCTGGAATCATGTTGCTCAGCATGTGTAGTTGTGTACCTGGGTATTTTCGTGTGGATTTTTAGCTTACCTGTAACAAAGTGACATGGTAAGCTATTGTAATCACTTTTCGTCCGTCGTCCGTCTGGCCATAAACTTTTACTTTGAACGACATCTCCTCATAATTATTAAGCATGAAACATCTTCTAGTGTGTGTCTACCAAGTTTGTTCAAATAAAAGCCATTGGGATAAAATTGGCTCCGCCCCGGGGGTCAGTGATTTTCCTTATATGTGTATAGCAAAAACTTTAAAAAAAATCTTAGAGCTAGAGCTTAGATATTTATCATGAAACATCTTCAAATGGGTGTCTACCAAGTTTATTCAAATAAATAGGTAAACGACTTCAGGGCCATCATGGTCCTCTTGTTTAGTATTTGTAGAGTTATTGCTCTTGACTTATTGAAAATTTGCAATTTTCAACTTGTGTCGCACATAGCTCAAAAAATATTTGACCTAGATCATGAAACTGTACAGGAATGTTGGTCAGCATGTGAAGTTGTGCACCTGGGGTTTTGCTTGTGGATTTATTCTGTTTTGTCAGAATAAGCCCTTGACTTGGTAAAATTTTGCAATTTTCAACCTGTGTCACACTTAGCTCAAAAAGTATTTTACCTAGGGTCATGAAACTTTACAGGAATGTTAATCAGCATGTGAAGTTGTGCACCTGGGTATTTTTGTGTTGATTTTTTTAGTATTTGTAGAGTTATTGCCCTTGACTTAGTGAAAGTTTGCAATTTTTAACTTGTGTCACATGTAGCTCAAGAAGTATGTGACCCAGAGTCATGAAACTTTATAGGAATGTTGCCCAGCATATGAAGTTGTGCACCTAGGGTTTCTCTTGTGAGTTTTTTCTGTTTTGTCAAGAGTTATTGCCCTTGACTTAGTGAAAATTTTTAATTTGTGTCTCACATAGCTCAAAAAGTATTTACCTACATTGACAGATGGCACATTGGCGATTTTTCTGTCCATAACTGAGTGAATAGGTAAATATTTTTTGAAAAATTGTTATTGCCCAGGGCATTTGTGTTCATCAAACACATCCTTGTTTTTCAAGTAATAAAATGTTTTAACAATTTTCATCTTTCAGATAAAAATAGACATATCAAAGTTGAAGAGGAACAGGTGCCACTTCAAGATACAGAAGTTAACTCCGGTTTGTAACACTTATTTAAGTTATTCTGTTAAGAGATGCATTTGCTTATGGAGGCTTTATTTATGGACTGATGATTTTTAATCCCTTTTGGCATAGCGTGAAGGAGATTATAGAAATGGCCTCCGTCTGTGTGTCCGCAACACTTTCTGTCCCCTCCATGACTTTTAAACTTTTGAAAAAAATATTGAAATAACTTGGCACAAGTGATCACCATTATGTGACTATGTGCAGAGCACAATAATTGTGTTGCTACCCCCAAGGTCAAGGTCACTCTTAAAGGTCAAATACTAAAAATCTGCAATTCGGGTCTGCTCTATAACTTTTGAACTGCTGAATATATTTTGAAGTAACTTGGCACAAGTGATCACCATTATGAGACTATGTGCAGAGCACAATAATTTGGTTGCTACCGTCAAGGTCACACAAGTCAAGTATCAAAACGTACATTTTGTGTCTGCTCTATAACTTTTGAACCGCTGCAAAAGTATTGAAATAACTTGGCACAAGTGATCACCATTATGAGACGATATGCAGAGTGTGAAAATTGAATTGCTACCCCCAAGGTCAAGGTCACATTTAAAGGTCAAGTGTTAAAAAGTCTTCATTATGTGTCCACTCCATTACTTTTAAACCGCTGAAGATTTTTTGAAATAACTTGGTACAAGTGATGACCATCATGAGATGATGTGTAGAGCGCAATAATTGGGTTGGTCAAGGTCACACTTAAAGTTCAAAAGTTTAAAAGTCTACATTTCGTGTCCACTCCATAACTTGTATATCATATTTGATAAAGTTTTATTGTTGAATATTTTCAACTTCAACACAAGTCATAGCAATGTCTTCCCGACTTATATTTTTCACAATTGCAAAACACCATTACTGTCAAGTTGTATAGTTACACAACTGTGTTTTCAATATTTTGGCAATTTTTCTTTCCAAAACTAAGGAAATGGGTAAACCATTTTTAGCTCACCAGAACAGAAGGTTCAGGGTGAGCTATCAGTATCAAAGGGGCCGATACTCCGGTGTCAGGCGTCAACAATTGTCTTCTTCCCTGAATCTGCTGGGCAGATTTACCTCAAATTTGGTCTGTAGCATCCTTGTGACAGTCACATTTAAATTTGCTCATGTCATTTTCATTGGCCCCTTTAAGGGGTCAACAGAGCTAAAAATAGAAAAACCTTTAATCATCTTCTACTACAGAAATAATTGTTGGATGATCACCAAACTTTGTCTGTAGCATTCTTGGGTAATCTTTTATCAAGTTTGCTCATATTAATTTGACTGGCCCCTTTTAGGGGTCTATAGAGCTAAAAAAAGAAAAACCTTTAGACATCTTCTTCTACAGAACTAATTGATGGATGATCACCAAACTTTGTCTGCAGCATTCTTGGGAGTCTTTTATCCAATTTGCTCATATAAATTTGTTTGGCCCGTTTTAGGGGCCACTAAAGCTAAAAATAGAAAAACCTTTAAACGTCTTCTTCTACAGAACTAATTGATGATCACCAAACTTTGTCTGCAGCATTCTTGGGGTGTCTTTTACTAAGTTTGTTCATATTAATTTGATTGGCCCCTTTTAGGGGCTGCTAAAGCTAAAAATAGAAATATATTTAAAAATCTTCTTTTACAGAACTAATTGATGATCACCAAATTTTGTCTGTAGCATTTTTGGGTAGTCTTTCATCAAGTTTGCTTATATTAATTTGATTGGCCCCTTTTAGGGGCCACTAAAGCTAGAAATAGAAACAATGTTGAACATCATTTCCTACTGAAATAATTGATGGATGACCACCAAACCTTGTCTGTAGCATTTTTAGGTAGTCTTTTATCAAATTTGTTCATATTAGTTTGAAAGGCCCCTCGCTAAAGCTAAAAATAGAAATACCTTTAAACGTCTACTGCTATAGAACTAATGGATGGATGATCATCAAATTTTCTTTGTAGCATTCTTAGGTAGTCTTTTAAGAAATTTGTTCATATTAATTTTTATTGGCCCCTTTTAGGGGCATCTAAAGCAAAAAATATAAAAACCTTTAAACATCATCTCCTATTGAAATAATTGATGGATGATCACCAAACTTTGTCTGTAGCATTCTTAGGTAGTCTTTGCTTATATTAATTTGATTGGCCTCATTTAAGCTAAAGCTTAAATGCCCAAGGTCAAGGCATTTCTTCAACGCGTCCGTGGCCGAGTGGTTAAGGTCGTTGACTTCAAACCACTTGCCCCTCACCGTTGTGGGTTCAAATCCCGACAGGGACTTTGGATTCTTTCATGTGAGGAAGCTATCCAGCTAGCTTACGGAATGTCGGTGCTTCTACTCAGGTGCCAGTTTGTGCCTGAAACAATGCACGGAAGGGCACCTGAGGTCTTCCTCCACCAGTAAAGCTGGAACGTCGCGATATGACCTATACTGTGTCAATGTGACTTAAAACCCAAAACAAAAAAACAAACAAACAAAAATGGCATTTCTTCAAATTATACTTATTCTATGCTCAAATTTAATTTTAGGAAATATTGAAAATGGATAATTTGCAAAATTGAAAAGCAGTTGTTTCTGGTGAGGGACTTGTATCAAGTTTGCTCATATTAATTTGATAGGCCACATTTTAGCTAAAGCTTAAATGCCCCAGGTCATGGCATTTCTTCAAATTATAGTTTAAAGATATATTCTCAATATATATGCTCAAATTTAATATATGGAAATATTGACAATTGATAATTTCCAACACTGACTCAGGGCCATCATGGCCCTCTTGTTTAAAAATTGTTACTGACAAAAATCTGAGCTTGGGGCACCTGTGTTTAACAAACACGTTCTTGTTTCTTCTGTGATAGATGTTGTCATATAAAAAAGGTTGTCAAAAAATAAACTGTGACATTTTGATGAACCCGGTAACATAAGAGTTATCAGAATTTTTATGACAGGGGGCAAGAAAGCATAATAATTATAGTTTCTACCCTTTTGAATTGTGATTCAAAATATATTTTAATTCTTTCACATGGTATAAAGCGTATAACAACTTTCATCTTTCAGATATAAATCAAAATATCAAAGGTGTAGGGGAACAGGTGCCACTTCAAGATACAGAGGCTGGTGCAGGAGTTTACTCAGGTTTGTAACACATATATAAGTTCTTCTGTAAAGAGATTCATTAAAGTCATGATAGATTTCATTAATAGTGACACATTTCTGGATTCGCACAACTTGCTCAACATTAAATCAATTGTAATAGTTTAACTAGTATGAACTCACCTTTAAAAAAAATCTTGTCGCTTTGGTAACAGAAAGGGAAATCTATTTATGAAAAAAAATGAAATTTTTAAGATTCTATTATGTCTTTTATCAAGATGGTTTAAATAATCATGCAGGATGTGTAGGCTGACCTTGCTCTATACTGCTCGCTGACCAACGTAAAAATTTCATCTTATTTTCCCAAAAATTGATAATGGACTGTTCCATAAGAAAAAATCAGCGGGTTAATGGTTGTTATAGTATCACTACTTGTCTCTTTTGAAATTTATCTGTAACAACCTAAAAAATTATAGCTCTTTAAAAATGTTAACACTAGTTCTGGCCAGGTTAACCCTGCTGGCAGATTAGCACCAACCCAAGTTGGACATTATTGTGGGCCACATTTTCCTTGGCTGTACAAATGGCCACCAGATCTAAAAATAGAAAGACTTTGTACAGCTTTCACTGGAGTGATCAGCACCACCCATATTGAGCATATCACTGGCACATTCTGCGCTTTGCTGCTCGAAATGGCCACTTGAGCTTAAAAATAGGAAAACCTTGACAGGCTTTCATAAATTTCTGGTTCCTTTGGGATTTTAGATGAAACTTTAAAAGGAGTGATCAATACCAATCCTAGCTTAGCATAATTTTTGTCTGCAAATCATTTCGCTTTGGTGCACAAAAAGGCTTACCAGAAGGTAGAGAGCTTTCTCCAGCTTTCAAAAGTGGTTTTTAACTGCTTGTTGGGATTTTAAAAAAAAATCACAGTTGTGAATGCTTTTGGGATTTACATGCCACTATTCCCATCATTAGAGTTAAAATATGGCGGAGATTATATTCTAGTTTACATCTGAAGGACCCCACTTTCAGGTCAAAAGCCACAGTTAGGGTCAAATATGTGAACCAGAAATTTTTATCAACTTTGTATCTCTTGAAAATGATAGAGCAATATTGTGTAATGACCCCCACCCCAAAGAAGTGGGGTCTATATTTGCCGTCGGTCCATAGACCAAATGGTTACCGCTCAATAACTAAAGAATACTTTGGCCTAGGAACTTCAAACTTGGTATGATGATTGTTCATGACCAGTAAATGATCCCTATTGATTTTGGGTCAAGGTGTCAAAGGTCAAGGTCACATTGACCATGTAGGTAAAAACAGTTTCCCGATCAATAACTAAAAGAACAATTTGGCCTAGGAACTTCAAACTTGGTATGATGATTGTCATGACCAGTAGATAGATCCCTATTGATTTTAGAGTTAAGGGTCAAAGATCAATGTCACATTGACCTTGTAGGTAAAATGGTTTCAACTCTATAGCTATAGAACGCTTAGGCCTAGGAACTTGTTACGATGATTGTTCATGACCAGTAGGTAACCCCTATTGATTTTTTTGTCACTAGGTCAAAAGGCAGTCATTTTATTCCTGATCACATGACTAATTGCTGCCAATAGGAATCATACATGTTTTACAATCATATCTTGTTCATTGATAGAGAATATCCCATATATCAAGCACACTGAGGTTGCACAAATTTAGATTGTTTTTCTGAAAAAAATTTTATACAAATAAAAACTCTTCCCAAATTAAAATATTATTTCAGCATTCTCAAACTTGCATTCACAGGTGTCTTGCTCTGACCTTGAAATGCTTTAAATTTGTCATGTACTTGCTGGTTCATTAAAAAAAACACTAGATATATGAAACAATATTATCATTTTTTATATACATGTATGTATTTTTTTTGTTAGAGAAAAGACCTTTGAAACGAAGAAATGGAAAGACAGGTGAACTAAAAAAAACATATAATGACACACTTACTCCAACAATTTTGAATGCATTGAACTCTCAGGCAGAGAGTGTTGGATGCCTCATTTGTGAAGAGGGTATTGCTGGGACAGTATTCAAAAGTTGGAACAAATCATGCTATGACAGCCTGTCATGTTGTTTTTTCATTATCAAAAATAGGTAAAAACTTTTTTTGTCTTTAAAATTTCATAAGATGTCATAAAATTTTTATGCCCCTGAAGGGTGGCATATTTAAATCGAACCATCTGTCGTCTGGGTTTCTAACGACTTAAGGTCAAGGTTCAAACTTTGTCATTTTTTATGTTTTTAAAAATATAGAAAGGGGTGGTTTTGTACACTCTGAAACTTTTCAGTATTCAATGAAAGGATTTGTAAGATTTTTCTTTTACATATTGAATTTAACTTATAGTATGTATGGTGTTGTTGTGAACCCAAGGACTGGGTTTCTACGACTAAACTCTGCCCGCAATATTTGCAGAATTATGCCACTTTGAAACTTAGAAAATTTGGTTAAAGGTCTTAAGAACTATGAAAGATATTTACTTGAAACTTTACACATGTACTAAGGGTCATAATTGAAGGTCATATCTCAAAATTCATTACTCTGCCATGTATTTTAACTGAATTATGCTCCCTTTTGTAATAAAAAAATCTCCTTTTTCTTGGTTAAGTTTAACATGCAAGTTTTGCATATCTCTGAAACTATTAAAGATACAAACTTGAAACTTCATATATATATATATATTTGTGGTCATAAATAATGATCAATGAACAGCACTCATATCTGTGTCATTTATTTAAGCTGATTTATCTCCCCCTTTTTAGCTCAACTTTTTTTTTTTAATAAGAAGTATTGTGATTTTTGTGCCCCCACTTTAGGTTGGGGCATTTAGATTTACCCTTATCCGTCCGTCTGTTCTTCTGTCCGTCCGTTCTCTTTTGTCACTGTGGGGGTTCAAACTTTGTCATTTTTTATGTTATTTAAATAAAGAAGGTGGTGGTAATGTGGGCTATGAAACATCAGTATGCATGAAAGGATTTTAATTTTTCTTTTACATATGAATTAACCATAGATGTATGGTGTGTAGCAAACAAGACTCTGGTTTCTATGACTCAGGTAGAGGTCACTGTGGGGGTTCAAACTTTGTCATTTCTTTTGTTATATAATTATAGAAGGTGGTGGTAATGTCCACTCTGAAACTTCAACATGCATGAAAGGATTTTAATTTTTCTTTCATATATGAAATAACCATAGATGTATGGTGTGTGGCGAACAAGATTCAGGTTTCTACGAATAAGGTCAAGGTCACTCTGGGCGTTCAAACTTTGTCGTATATAGATTGTGGTGGTTGTGTCTGCTCAGAAACAAATGCAATCTTGTTCATACTTAATCTTTGTTGGGAGAATAGTTTTTGAGGCAATATTTTGTATCAACATGAAACTTCATAAAATCTTTTTTGAAAAAGTAACATGCAGGGATATCTTAGCCAAGACAGTGGAGGTTTTAGTTTTAGTCTATAGCATATCTTTATATCAAAATGATATGTCAACATGAAAATTCATAATATCTGATTGACATTTTCAGTCAGGACGGTGGCAGTCCTTGTTTTTTTTTATCATTTGCCTTATATCCATATAACAAAAATTGAGTCTGAAATTCATTATACGTGTACTGTCTTTTATTCTTTTAAGTATTTTTGTTTCAGATAGAAATGGTCCAAATGAGAATGGCAACTTCGATTGGTCACAACTGACATCTGATAGTGTGTATGTGAATTTTAATGAATTAATAACTGACAAGCCAAGGAAAGTATCCAAAGTAACTTGTGTGTACTTTAACGAGCATTTAGATGTGGCTGTCCTTAAATTTGAGGATGTCCTTAGCATACCTCGAAAAATGGTGCTTGACAAATCTATTTACCGAAACCCGCAGAAAGTTACTGTTATAGGTTTTGGTAATCCAGATAATAATTTAAAGAAACATGTTGACCCATCTTGCGAAGTTATAACACCAGACAGTATGAAAATTAGATCTGCACATGCATGGCTTCAAGGTGAAGGAAGATTGTATAGAAATAATGAAAATGCTGAAAATTTTGACTATGGATATCAAGGTTATGGTGATCAACACAAGATTATATTTTCCTGTTACCTTGAGCATGGGGCTTCTGGGGCACCAATTATCACTCAGGACCGTGCTCAAAATGTACAAGTGGTTGGCATACTAACAAATGGTATGCCAGATTTCTATTATAAGTTGTCAAAAGGTGACCAGGAAAGTTTTCCTTGTGAATACAGGTTTGAATATGGAACATGGATGAGGTATATTTATGAAGATATGCTAGAAACAGATAGGAATTTGGCAGAGGATATTTTTGGTGCCAGTGGAGAAGCATAACATCAAGTAGAGGGCCCAATACATATAGTACCTGGCTGAAATTTTATAATACATGTACATGTACTATTAAAAACTGCAGTAAAATGTAATTACTTTGTTAGGTTTGGATACTCTTGACACTGTAAAGGTCATATGGTGACTGTGAAGCTTTTCTGATGGACAAATGCTTCAGGTACTCTTTCATGCATTATTTCAGGAAATTTGAGAGATGCTGTTATAAAAAATAACATGTGTTTCTCATGGTAATAGTGCATATTAGCAACCAGAGAACTGAAATAACATCCAAGGAGTAAATAATGTAATTTTTCTCTGGTATGCTTTATTACTCAGAGGGCCATTCATCAGTGATTGCCGCCTTGGAAGAGAACTGGAACATAAAGTTTTCTATAGTATATATAGATTACTCGCCCCAGTGGAATGTTGCATGAAAAAGTGGACACAATAGGCTATATAGTAAAAAGTTTACATGAGGTATAATAAAGACAGATAGTTGTCTTTTCCATTCATTGTAAATGCTTTACACTTTATTGTTAATTATAATATTCTAAGACATCTGTTTTTATGTTCCCCTAAGGGTGAGCATACAGTCGCCGCTTTGTCCGTCCGCCATTTTTGTCCCGGACATAACTTAAAAACAACAAGAGATATCAACATGAAACTTTGTAGGTAGATAGATCATATTGAGTAGAAGTGCATTGCAAAGAACATAACTCTGTCTTGCCTAATTTTGGAGTTATTGCCCTTTTTTCATTTTTAAACTTTGTCCGGGATATAATCATTTTTACACTTTGAAATTTGTCTGGGATATAACTCTAGAACTATAAGAGATATCAACATGAAACTTTGTAGGTAGATAGATCTCATTTAAGAAGAAGTGCAGTGCAAAAGAACCATAACTCTGTCTTGCCTAATTTTGGAGTTATTGGCCTTGGTTCATTTTTACACTACAAGAGGTATACTTACTTGTGTTCAAAATTTATTCGGGGAGCATCACCCGGTTCAACCGGTTCTTGTTTTAGAAATATGTTCCATAAGTAAGAACAAAATTTGGTATATTTTAACACACTTTATTGTCCCATAAAAGAAAACTTTGAATATTATTTGCACATTTTGTATTTTGATGAAAATGGTTGTAAGTACTTGGATAATTAGATTTGTTGAAAAGGTATTATACTTGTAATTGGAGATTATTTATAGTCTGTGATAAAGTGCTTTCAAATAACTTTCTGTCAGTTATAAAATCATGTATGCTAGGAAAACTACATTTTTATTCATATTTGATGTTTTGCAGTTTAAAGAACTTTTTTTCTTCAATTTTGAGTGTATAAAAAAGCAAAAATAGTAATACTGTATTATTTGTATTTCAATTTTTCATTACAAATTATGCATTCCTTTATATAACTATTGAATATATACTTTAATGGTTGTTTATGTTGTTGTGATGTTGTTGGCATTTGTTTTAGATGTATTCTTTATATACTATAGAGTAAGTGAGCTCCTTTAATTTCTTGCAATTTTAAACTGCAATTTACATATACATATATATACATTTTCTTTATTAAGGGATGAAATCTGATGTTATAATAACCTATGTGTGGTTTAGAAAACTATGAATGTTTCTAAAAAAAAAAATGTTTAAAAAATGTTTAGTTTTAATTTTTAAAATTTTATAAATGGTTTTTACTTGAATGAGGTGTACATAATTTGTGGAAGTAGGTATGTTAATTTGTTCAGTATAGCTTTTTGATCACATTATTCATTTTTTATTGTATTAACTCCTTTATTTACATGTTAAAAGATTGTGTTCGATTTAATTTAAGGTACATTAGGCCTCTGAAATAAATTATTTTCTGTAGGAAAGGGCAAATATTTTCTTTAAAATGTTGTCATACCATGTTGTAAGATTCTTGTCACATGAAGAAAATAGCCCTGAATGTGATATAATTTGTGATAAAGGAAGCGAAATGTAAACAAACTTATATTTTGACTTCAATACAAAATACTAAATCACTATAAATGTTATTGCCAAAAGCAAAATATGGCTAAGTATTATCGCAAATGATAAATTTTTTTGAAAAACTGTAACATAACATTAAAAATAAAAAGCTTTAAATTTGAAAAAATAAAAGTTATACAGTAGTGTTTTTTTTAGACTTAATGAGCCTTTAAAAGTGAATTTTTTTCTCCACATATGATCTCTAAATAGCTGAAAAATAGACTGCTACAATGAGGTGCTGTCTGCATCACTCTTCAATTTTAATCCTTTCCTCACAAAAAAAGTGGGGTGGGGGGATAAATAAAGAGGTAAAAAAAGAGATTTTGTTAAATTGTTTAGTTAGTATTTTATCTTTTTCCCCAACATTGTAAAAATCTGTTTACATTTGTATAAAAGTTGATCTTGTGTATCTTAAGTTTAACCTGCTGAATTTGTGTAATGGACTTGTCCAGCTTTGAAGTTGGATCAGTCCATTTAAATTATAAGGGATTTCATTAGCAAAAAACAAAAATTTAGCTACTAACAGTATAGAGCCTGGTCGTCAGACATCATAAATGAGCAGTCAAGACTGGTTCTTTACTGGGTAGCAGACGCTAATCACTTACAGTTCCATTAGGTTAAGAGTTAAGTTTATTGAACCAAAAGAATCATGTGTATAATAAACTATTTATTGACCAAAAAATCATGTGATATTTATTTTTTTGTGTAGCCTCTACGGAGTAGTGGCGACATATAGGGATCACTTCTCCGTCGTCTGTCTGTCCGTCCGTCCCTCACAAAACTTGTCCGGACTACTCCTCATAAACTACTGGTGCAATTTCATCCAAACTTTACAGAAATGATCAATACCAAGTGTAGTTGTGCATATTGTCAGCATTTTCCTGTTCAATGATTTTTGTCAGAGTTATGGCCCTTTAATAATTTTTAATTTTAAAGTTTGTCCGGACTACTTCTCTTATACCACTAATGCAATTTCAATGAAACTTTACAGGATTGATCTGTAGCTCAAGTCCTTGCGCATATTGCACGGGTTTTCCGGTTGAATGATTTTTGGCCGAGTTATGGCCCTTTGATAAAAAGGTTTCTTTTTCTGTGTGTTGCCAGATACACAAAAGCTTGTCCGGACTACTCCTCATAAACTACTGGTGCAATTTCATCCAAACTTTACAGGAATGATCAGTACCAAGTCTAGTTGTGCATTTTGTCAGCATTTTCCGGTTCAATGATTTTTGTCAGAGTTATGGCCCTTTAATAATTTTTATTTTTAAAGTTTGTCCGGACTACTTCTCTTATACCACTCATGCAATTTCAATGAAACTTTACAGGATTGATCTGTAGCTCAAGTCCTTGCGCATATTGCACGGGTTTTCCGGTTGAATGATTTTTGGCCGAGTTATGGCCCTTTGATAAAAAGGTGTTTTTTTTCTGTGTGTTGCCAGATACGCAAAAGCTTGTCCGGACTACTCCTCATAAACTACTGGTGCAATTTTATCCAAACTTTACAGGAATGATCAGTACCAAGTCTAGTTGTGCACTGTCCGTCTGTCTGTCCGTCTGTCACAAAATTTGTCCCAACATGAAATTGGCCATCATGAGGCGACACATGTGATTACTGATCGCTCTTGTGTTGATATTAATATTATTTATTGATCTGATGAAACATTAAATTATTAGTATATCCTAATTTGAAATGATATTTGTTTTGTTTTTTTTGTTGTTTTTTTGCTTTCTGGAGCTTGACGATCAAATTTTGAATTACTTGTAGTTTTTATGTTCTCACTTTTGTTTCAAATGACATTCTCAGAATCAACTGTACATTGGTCACAGAAAGTAAAAATATATTTTGAAAGTGAAATTGTCCACACAAAAAAAATATTTTCCAAAACTGCTAGATCTAGAGCATAAAACATTGTCTAGTTGACAAAGCTTGGTCAACTAAGAATCAAGTAAAATTGATCTTAATTCAGGAGGCATCAGCTTATTTGTCAAAACTTTTAATCTTCTAATAAGAGACTGCAGGGCTAAGTGTTTGAATAATTTAAAGTGTTCAAAGTTGTTGAAATACTGGCATTCAGGTATCTTAAATGGACCTCTACCTTTGGATGATGTTTAAGGTCATTTGGGTCAAGGTCACTGTGTTTAGATGTAGATTTTAACTTTTTGCCATTACATTTATTTGATCAAGATTAGCAGTCACCCAGGTGAGCAAGATTAGGACCATAATGAACTGTAGTTCTGTTTTAAGGTAAATCATAGAAAAGGTATATAAAAGCGTTTTGAAAAAAAAAGATTTAAAGAAATGATTTATTCTGTTTTACTTAAATGTTTTAAGCTTTTAATGTATAAGTATCTCTTTACTGTTTACTTAAATGTTTATGTTTTAAGTATGCAAGTGTCCCATGGCAATTGATTTGTCACTGTATGTTTATGTACAGTATGCAACTCTATTTATTTGATATAATATAAAAACATTGGTAATTGGTGCAATAATGGTGCTATTTTTCTCTCATTGTTATTTAATTAAAGCATTTGTGTTTCCTTATTATATACATGAAATAACAAATAACATTGGTTCTTTTTCATAAAAGTTGATTTTTTGGATTTAAATTTGATTAATAGTAGACTATTATCTATGCAAAATCATTTTAAGTGTGATTCCAATTGAATTAATATGTTATTGTTAAAAAATTTATATATGTATACACAGTGCCATATTTTATATGTGATAATTTGATATAAAGCGTTATGGTTATATATCACATTAAATCAAGTGAATTTGGTGGTGCCTTACAATAATATGATATACACATTATTGTTTACATATAATCTGAATATTTCAGTAGTTAATAAGTTTAGTGTTGCAGAGCAGTGCATTTTAAAACACACAAAAATTAAACAGTAAAACTATTCAGTACTGGCAATGTTTGAGAATATAACGAACAAACTGATTACTCTTCAATATTCACAATGTTTACAAATATGATTGATTATTTATAAATTACAAAAATGACACTATTGTACATCTGAAATCTGGTCAATATTTTACCATGTGCCAAACACTATGGTATTCAAACTGATCTATGCTTCAGTATTCATAATCTTTTACAAGTCAACAGACAGTCTGAGCAACACTTGAGTATTCTTAATTTTTTACAAGGTGACAGACAGACTATTTTTATCAGTGTTTCAGTATTCATTGTATGTTTTACAAGGCAACAGACAAACTGATCAGTGTTCATTATTCATTATGTTTTACAAGGTAGTAGACAAACTGAACAACGCTTCAGTATTCATAATTTTTTACAAGTCAACAGACAATCTGATCAATGCTTCAGTACTCATATTACTGACCTGTGTTCATTATTCATTATGTTTACAAGGTAAAAGACAAACTAATCAATGCTTCTGTATTCATAATTTTTACAAGGCAACAGACAAACTGAACAATGCTTCAGTATTCATAATGTTTTACAAGGTAACAGACAAACTGAACAACGCTTCAGTATTCATAATGTTTTACAATTTATTATAGACAGTATTCATATACATGTATTTTTTTTAAATGTGACAGACAAACTGAACCACGCTTCAGTTTTCATAATGTTTTCAAGGCAGCAGACACTTACTGCTGCTTCAGGTTCAAATATTCAGCAACATTTTTTTTATGGCTGTATTGTTAAATATAGTCTTAAACTGGTCATTTAGGGCTAATTCAATAATTAGACTGCTGAAACAGGCCTTTTGCTTTTAACTGTCTCACCGATTTTGTACAGTAGGTCTGTATTGTGAGCATGTAATGTTTATCATTGAACAATGACTTATTATTATGAGCATAATAATTATATACAAATTCCATTCCACAAAATGTCTTTCTAAATTTTTTTAGGATAGATTTTATTTGTTAATGTAATTGAATATATATTCATAGTAAAAACTGAATTTGCTGTTTGTTTTTATTTTCTGTCGTTTGCATTTTAGAAAAATGAACCATTAGCCTTTATTGGTATAATTGATTGTCCACATGATCAAACATCAGTAACGGTCAACTGTCCTGAAAGACCTTGGTCATACATACTTGTATATATGTATATACAAATTTGCTCTACAGCTTTTTTATGCAAACTAGCCTTCTTAGAGTCAGTCACTCTTTCATCCCTTGGTATGTGCATGGAAATGCATTGGGCATTTGAAACTTGGCTGGACTTTATACATGTATCGTCAAGTAAGCTGCTTTTTGTGACTTTAAGAGTGGATGGATTCTCATTAAGCAGACAGACATACAGTTCGCCAGAGCTAAAAAAAAAGAGATCTTTTGAACTTTTGAATCAAATTGCAGTACAGTAGATCGACATCACTTTTAGCTATTTCCGGCATCGGAGCCTTCACCTTGGTTCAAGTGATTGTACAGTTCATGCAAAGTTTATTTAAGATATCTTCATTTTAATAAAGGCTAACGGACAAAAAATAATCTTAGCGCAAACCAGAGATGACCACTTAAATAGCTGGGCTATTTATTCCTAATTCACATGTATACAATCAAACATTGCCAACAAATGTATTATAGAAATATTACTGAAGTATATATATTGTACATGCCGCCTGTCAAACTACCTCGGGTAGATAATTCCAATTCAAAATTTATAGGTCACCTTTTGGTTGATAGTAACATTTCAGGACATGAATGGTAACATGTGCGAGGTCCATACTCTCAGTGCCTGAAAGGGCTGATGAACCCTCATTAAGCCTAGAATACATACATGTTGACAGGATAAACGTGAGGCCAAAAGTGAAAGCCGAGGGTTACTAATATTTATGTCAGGATGGCTACATTCCATCAGTTTTTGTAAGACAAATGAGCCGCGCCATGAGAAAACCAACGTAATGGGTTTGCGACCAGCATGGATCCAGACCAGCCTGCGCAGTCTGATCAGGATCCATGCTATTCGCTTACAAACCCTATAGCACATAGAGAAACTGATAGCGAACAGCATGGATCCTGATCAGACTGCGCGGATGCGCAGGCTGGCTGGTCTGGATCCATACTGGTAGCAAACCCATTATGTTGGTTTTGTCATGACGCGGCACAAATGTATAACAACTTCAGACTGTTTTCAAAGAAGCCTGGGAAAAGAAAAAGACACACATAATCAGCATGCTAACACTGCCCAATAAAAAGGTAATTCAAGTACAAAGTCATAATTGCGGTATGTGTTACTTTGAACTTTTTTTAAGCCAAAGAATACGCCATTAAGAACAAACGCAATAAAAATATTCACAGTTAACAGTCCAAGATTTAAATACATTGTTATTGTTGTGTGCTTGGTTCTTCATGATATATATACGGAATAATATACAATGTGTTCAAGCCAAATTTATTTGGTGTTATTTAAAAAATGGTATATATTATATAAGAAACAGTACTCAACACTAATGGAAGGCCTTATAGCATTATAGTGACCGATCAGTCAGCCCGCAAATATAACTGACCTGAATGTTGAAGGTTGAGGTTGGTTCAATGTTTAGGGCTGCCTGGGAGGTCTGAAGTAAAGTGTTCTACCGAACTTTACTAGAATTGAATGGTAAAAGTACGAGAAAGGAAATTACAATGTCTAAAAAATTAAATTCCATGAAAGTTATACTGAAAACTTTTTGCAGTCAGCTTGTATAACAATCTTACGTTGTCCCAGATAGAAAGAACTGAAGTCTTTCAAAGTCCAAATAAATTTCAAGTAGACCCTAATAAGAAATATTTTTTTATCCTAGTTTGTAAATGAAAATAATAACAAGAGCGATCAGTGATTACATATGTCGCCTCATGATGCCAATTGCATGTTGCAGCTACTGTGTAGCAGGAGACACAAAAATCATTAACAGGGCAAAGGGGCTTTTTATTCAAGGGCCATAACTCAGCAAAAAATCATTCAACCAGAAAACCTGTGTAATATGCACAAGTACTTGAGCTACTGATCAGTCCTGTAAAGTTTCATTGAAATTGCATAAGTAGTATAAGAGGAGTAGTCCGTTTAAGTGAAAACCATTCAAGGGTCATTACTCCAACAAAAATCATTGAATCAAAAAACGCCGATCATATGCACAACTAGACTTGGTATTGATCATTCCTGTAAAGTTTTGATGAAATTGCACCAGTAGTTTCAGAGGAGTAGTCCAGACAAGCTTCTATATAGCTGACAATACAAAAACACTTATTTTATTCATGGGACATAATTAACTTGGCCAATAATCATTCAAGCAAAAAACCTGTTTAATATGTGCAAGCACTTGAGCTACCAATCAATCCTGCAAAGTTTCATTGAAATTGCAGTAGTTGTATAAGAGATGTTACATGTAATACGGACAAACTTAAACACTTTTTTTTATTCATGGGCCATAACTCATCCAAAAATCATTCAACCCGAAATAACATGCGCAAGTAACTTGAGCTACCGATCAATCTTGTAAAGTTTCAATGAAATTGCTTCAGTGGTATAAAAGGAGTAGTCTAGACAAACTTTAAAAATAGAATTTATAAAAGGGCCATAACTCTTACAAAAATCATTAAACCAAAAAATGCCGATATTATGCACAACTGGACTTGGTACTGATCATTCCAGTAAAGTTTAGATGAAATTGCAGTATTTTCTGAGAAGTTGTCTGGACAAGCTACACAGTGTGGCAATACCACGTGACATTGACGTCATTTTCGGCATCATTTCCAAGACAAATGTTGCTCGATTCGGAAAAGAAAATAGCCGTAAATATTTTATTTCTGTACCAATTTCTTTGGGATATGCACCAGTCTTCGGGGAAAAATATAAGCTTTCCACAGAATATTGAATCTTCGTCAGTTTATCAGGGTTTGCCTAAAATACGAAAGTGAGATTTTTGATGAAAGTGAGCGAAAGTGACTTTTAGAATTTGAATTGTACTGTTTTAATAGAATTTTACAGTAAAATTGCTGTTTGCATACGTATATTATTAGCAACTTATTATATGTATTATAATAAATAACCATAATCATGATTTAATCGCCATTTATTTGCATAATTTCTATATACAAGTTCAGCACTCTTCCTTTCACTTGCATATAAAAATACGAAAGTGACTTGTAAAGTATTAAATATAGAGTTTAAATTGAAAATGTACTATATCTGCAGTTTGTAAACGTGTATTATAAGAAATTACTATTATTTATTTTCTAAATTAATCATTATGATGATTTAAAGTTTTATACCCCATTTTTTTTGCATAATTTCTATAAATACACATCCCCAGCAAACACCCGACGTTGACCCAACGTTGGATCAACGTTGAATTTTGGTCGCGACGTCGGTGACCTTCATACAACGTCAAATCGACGTTGAATCCCCGACGTCTAACAGACGTTTTATTTTGACGTCGACTCGACGTCGGGTTTTGGTCGGTAATCTGACAATAGGTGAATTTAATTTATGAAACCATTATATATATAAATGAAAGCATAAACAGCGAGAATTTAAAGTTTAAGTTTAGAAAGGGAACATTATATATTTATTTTCTCCATCAAAACAACAGTATCACGTGGGTGGCTAACGTACGATATTCGATAGGTGGCGCTCTGTAAACGGATAGTCGCAGATCAGTATGAAATATATTTGCTCTATTTTCGTTTAAATAATATCTTATCTCCTCAAATTAGTCTAAGAAGTGTTTATATAATTTACAATGAAGCTGCTATCATTTTTGAGGGTTTCATTTTATAGTGGTAAATAATTTAGTAAATTCGAATTTGCGACTTATCGGATTTGAAATTCAATTGTATTGGCGGACAAAAAAACGACGGGTTGACAGACAAAGTTGTATATTCCAAACAAAAGAAAAAGGTAGGCAAACATTATATATTGTTTTTCAATGCTAATTTACCGCATGTTTGCATGGATTCGATGGTTATTTGATCATTGAAATGTTTGACTGGTAAAACTTAATGTAACGTGATTTCGCGAGATAAATATTTTTGTTTCCACGTAAGAACACTTTATCATTTGCTATAGAACAGTCTGTATAATCGGATCATTTTTCCCACACTATATCGCCATGCCAAATAAATGCACAATCAATGGTAGGAAATATCCTAGCAATTGAAATCAATAAAAAGTTAAATACAGTACGTAAGACTCTTATTATTGAAATGCTGGTAAATAAAATTTCCTCTTATTTCTTATCAACATGAATTTCCCTTATATGAGGGGCCAGTCATTTACACATGTATCAGACGCAGTTTGATTTTGATACCTGTGTAGTTGTTAAACTACTCGTTGTTAATTGAAGTACTTTACCCATACTGTTAGCATACCATGTGTTTCTTATATTATGATAATGATTCATGGCATTTGATACATGTAAATGATACGACTTTGGTAAGATATATCTGAAAGCACATTGTATTTGACTAGCTATCTTTTTATTAATGTAATCAAACAACATATTATCAATCAGAAAACACATTATCATAGTTATAAATCAATAAAAGTAATAGTTTGTTAATTAGCCTGCTTATCAACAAGTTGTATGCTCGTATCATAAAATGTTTTTACACTAAGCCAGTCTGTCCTATATACACTTAGCAGACCAGATCATGCTGGGCAGAGATGATATCTATAAAAATGACAGTAACATGTGAATTTCTTTGATGTTGTATGAGCATTTGTACAAAGTACATTGAATACAAAAAATAACAATATCAATTTTTGCGGGAGTAGAATTAATTTCATTTTGGTATTTGTTATATCAGTTTTTCATGCGCTTATGAGTTAACTATGATTAATAGTAATTGGATTTTGCCTATTGTATTAGACAAACATCCTTCCACCACATAGTTTAATTCTAACACGATTATATTTCGTCTTTCAGATTGTGAAAATTATGGTAATTCAACATGTGTCAAAAGTTCAGGAGGAAGATGAAAATATTTAGAGGAAAAGAAAAATGAAAACCTACCAAGATTTTGTGACAGGTATATTTCAAAATATTATAGAAAATACAGTGATCTTATTACCCTTGATTTTATAATGAAATTCATGTAGCCATTTTTTATCAAAATTAATAGATATATACAGTAGGTACACGAAACTACATGGTTTAAACTAAATTAAAAATAATAAGTATCTTTTTAAGTAGTTGGAGAGTTTTGTTAGAATTTTGTTTAATTATAATATGTAAAAGTAATTTATTTCTTGCTCTTGTAACTGATTATTTTTTTTTTTTTTAATTTCAGAAAGTGTGATGAGATCTCAGGTGGGAGACGGTAATGATACGCTTAAAGTATGCCCCAGATCGACATAGTGTAGGAGGACGAAAGAAGCTAGAATACTAATGAAGATAAATGAACATTGCTATTTATAGTTATAACAAAATATTCAGAATAGTGTTCCATTTAACATTCAGATCTAGATTCAGTTATAAAATACAAAGACAAATATACAATCAGTGAGTTGGATAGATGATTGAAAAATCCCAAACTCAGAGTGATCAGTTCAGTGGTGATATAAGAAAAAACACATGCATGGATGTTTGCTATATAAAATGTCAGTGATTTTGTTTATTTTATTTCTAAAACATGCTTAATTAATACATGATTGAAGCGTTATTAAAGTACATACCGTCAAGTTTAATAGTTTCAAAAAATATTATGTAAATCTTGCATTTGTTATAGTACCACATTACTTGTTTTGTACTTGTGATTCCGAGTATAAAATAAATTGCTAAAATCATAAGAATGCTTATTTATTAACCCTATTAAAGAGCTTCAAAATGAAAAAAAAAATCATATTCCAAAAGTTTTGAATGAGGTTAAATCATGGTCAGAAAATTTGGTCAGATAAGGTTGGCATATGGTCAGATAATGGTCAGAAAAGGTTGGATTATGGTCAGAAAAAGGTTGGATTATGTCCAAATAATGGTCAGAAAAGGTTGGATTATGGTCAGATAATGGTCAGAAAAGGTTGGATTATGGTCAGAAAAGGTTGGATAATGGTCATTTTATGACGTTGTATAGACGTCGGTTTCTGACGTCTAAAAAACTTTCAAATCCAACCTTCTGCCAACGTTTACCCAACGTCAGGGTCTAACGTCCGTACAACGTTGGTACAACGTCTTTTGTTTGCTGGGTCAGCGATCTTCCTTTCGCTTAAACTGAAACATACGAAAGTGACTTGTAAAACATCAAATATAGAGTTTGAATTGAAAAATGTACTTAAATTGCAGTTTGTAAACGGATTCTAAAATCTGCTTTGAACTGTAGTCCTTTTTTTCGACTTGGAACTGGTGCCAGAATTGACAATTGTAGAAAAATGTAAGATTTAATGTCATTCATAATAAAAATATGAACATATTTAGGTAGAGTTTTGCCTTCCGTACTCCCGGTTGATGTAAACCTGACTTTTCATTCATGGCGTAGACCAGATAACGCCAGAAAACGAAATAGCTTGCAACTGAAGCCCGCTCTAATACAAGCAACTTCCAAGGTTATGCAAAGTGTTTGATAAAACGGCTTATAAACTGACAAAGATTCAATATTCTGTGGAAAGCTTATATTTTTCCCCGTAGACTGGTGCATATCCCAAAGAAATTGATACAGAAATTAAATATTTACGGCTATTTTCTTTTCCGAATCGAGCAATATTTGTCTTGGAAATGATGCCGATAATGACATCAATGTCACGTGGTATTGCCACACTGACACAGAAAAAACTTTTTCATTCAAGGGCCATAACTCTGCAAAAAATCGTTCAACCAGAAAACCCGTGTAATATGCGCAAGTACTTAACATAATTTATTCGAGGACCATAACCCGGCCAAAAATCATCCAACAGGAAAAACTTGTGTAATATGTGCAAGTACTTGAGGTACAGATCAATCCTGTAAAGTTTCATTGAAATTGCATTAGTGGTAATCATAAGAGTTGTGCGGATAAAAATCATTAAAGGGCCATAACTCTGACAAAAATCATTGAACCGGAAAATGCAGACGATATGCACAACTAGACTTGGTACTGATCATTCCTGTAAAGCTTTGATGAAATTGCACCAGTAGTTTCTGACTCAGGAGCAGTCCGGACAAGTTGTGTGACGGACGGATGGACAGACAGACCACGGAGAAGTGATCCCTATGCGTAGAGATTGACATAACAGTTTACACAATACGGTTTTGTCAACAACATTTCAATTAACACACAAATTTAACATAAAAACCTTTAAGAATGGCTAGATGGATATACATGTATATAGAAGTTATTTTTAGCTCGACTATTCGATAAGAATAAGTAGAGCTATTGTAGTCACCTGAGCGCCGGCGTTGGCGTCCGCGTCGGCATAACCACTTATGTTAAAGTTTTTGTAATACCTCAAATATTTTCAATTATATATATTTTTCATACAGTTTTTAGCTCGACTATTCGATAAGAATAAGTAGAGCTATTGTAGTCACCCGAATGTTGGCGTCCGCTTCTGCGTAACCACTTATGTTAAAGTTTTTGTAATACCTCAAATATTTTCAAACTCCATTTACATATGGCTTTGAAACTTTGCACACTTGTTCACCATAATGACCCCAATTACCCTGTAGACAGGAGGAGGTAACTGTATCAAGCATTTTGACAGAATTCTGCCCCTTTTTCGACTTAGAATTTACGTTAAAGTTTTTGTAATACCTCAAATATTTTCAAAGTCCATTGACATACGGCTTTGAAACTTAATTTGCACGCTTGTTCACCATCATGACCCCAACCTGTACTGTAAACATGAGGAGGTAACTGTATCAAGCATTTAGACAGAATTATGCCCCTTTTTCGACTTAGAATTTATATAAAAGTCCGATATCACCTCAGATATTTTCATAATTTATTGACATCTGGCTTTGAAACAAGTTGAAATATTATACTCTTCTTTGAGAGCGTTATTATGGTTTTATAGGACTCTCCAAGGCCTTTAACTGTAACATGGATTTAAATAAAAAAATTGCCCTTTAGTAAACTTAGAAAATTTTACATTATCAAGGCTCTTTTACTATCAAGCACTAAGAATAGTCGAGCGTTGCTGTCCTACAGCTCTTGTTGTATATATATTCGCGCAAATAATCGTACTTTTGCTCACTTTTGTCAAAAAGTCACTTTCGTATTTTAGGCATATCGGTATTTTCGCGCTTTATCGCTTCATGATTGACCAGTCGAACTCGGCCAGATATAATTTACGAAACCAGTCCAGAGCGTCGTGTTGAGACTCCATTGTTGTTAGCGAGAAAATAAACTTAAAAATGGCTGATTTCGAGGAATTTGACAGAGAAATGGCTCAAGTGAAAGGTATTTAATGTTATCTAACTTTAGACTTGATCCCATTACATTGTAGAAGATGAGATGGGCACATTTTTCTGAGGTGACAAGTAATAGAACTCGGATACCAAATATTTTCGGACGTGTGCATAAATTTTTCTAACTAAATCATCACCAAACAGCATTGCCAGTATATTTTAATTAGGAATATATGGCTAGCATTTACTAGCAGTATAGACTAACCGCACAGTGTGGATACACGTTTCACTCCCAGGATGGTTCACATCGAATCCTGGTCAATTTGCCCCCCCCCCCCCGATTTATCTCTGCCTTATAGTTAGTTATACTTATCTATCCATCCACCCATCTATATATGTCCAACCCTTCGTAGACATGACTAGACTTCAGAGATAGCTATGAGATACAAGGGACTCCGGGAACCAGTCCCTAGCTCTTATTAGACCCCTTGGCTCTTTTGTGTATTGATGTAGCACGCGAGAATTACCTGGATTTCTTCCCAGTACACCTCTAGTTAGGTGGGAAACACTGAAAGTGTCTCTTAAAAATCCCAAAGGTGTTACCCAGGATCAAACCCGTACTTCGGGAGTGACAGTCCACCTATACTTAACTCGGCATAGGTCAACTTAAGTTTGTACTCCATATTTTTTTTCAAAGTTCTATTATTGTATTATTATTAAATAATTTACAGTGTTCAGTCTAGAATGAATTCCCAGGGGGACCTTCGGGCCCATAAACTTTTCCAAAGGGGGTCATTTGAGAAAAAAAGGGGACCCATACTTAAAATGAACATGTATAAAATTCAAATACAGTCCCAGTGAAACTTGAAATGATCTTACAGGACAAAAGGTCCTGTGAAACCTTGTATTTTACAGGACCTTGGTGACAATAACATGTACAGGACCTAAAAGTTTTGTATAATTAATGAGAGTTCCTTTGGCAGGGAACTTTTTGGCTTATTTTATAGCCGTTATTGGGTCATATTCCCAATTGAAAATAGTATATTATTTTCTCAATTTACAGGAAAAAATTTCCAATTGAAAGTTACAAAATAAAAATATTGAATAAAAATTCTAAAATCTTTGCAAATAAGGGCTTCTTCAATTTAATAGTGCTTACATGTTTGAAGATGCCATCCTTGACAGTAATTGTTTGCATCCATTTAATCACTGCAAAATTTCAGTCATGCATTTTTCCCAATTTTTAACAAAACACAGCTGTAATTCCCAATTCCATGGGTATGGGTTGTGTTCCCAAAATCCTGGAAAAAATTCCTGGTTGGCGCTAATGCAGGCTCATTTTCAAGAACTGATTGGTAATGAAACAAAGACATCAAAATGAACCTAATTTAAATGTTGCCAGGGATATTTGATTAAAATGTTCAGTTTTTAAATCAACGGCTGATATAAAGGAAAATCATTATGTGCATTTCCCTTTATTGATGAAGAATATAAACCTACATAGTTGCTAAAAATATTTACCCTTCTTAATATATCCATGCGAAAAACAAAGTATCAACAGGTGCTAAGACAATGAACATTGACATACCAGTTCCTTTGATCTTTTGTCAGGGCAGCAGTCCTACATCATGCTTATAGATTAATGATATACACAATGTTTTAGCGCCGACCACCCAAAGACCAATCAAAATTAATTTACTCATTTGGCAGGCACTTAGCCAATCATGTTTGATTAGCTTTTATTTCAGTATTTAAAAATATAATAATTAATATTATTCTCAAGAAACCTATTATGTACTTAACCCATTACTTCATGAGCATTTTGTGAAAAATGGCTGTTTTCATTGAAAAGTCTCACGTTACAAGTTCAAACTGCTATAATACTATAAAAACTGCTTCAACACTAATCAAACTTGGCACAAATGTTGACTGGACCATTGCCCTTGCAACAACATGCTCAGGCTTAAATTTTCTGTTACCATGGCAACGAGGGGACATCTCAAAATTGCCAAAAATCACTATTTTGCGTTGATTTTTTCCATCAAAATTGATTTCAAAGTGCTGCAACTTCTCAATGGATGGAGATAGAGTCAAATGCTTTTCAGCGTTGGTTACACGTTACCTTATGATCAATCTGGGGTCATTTACAGCCTCTCACAAGTCCAAAATTTTCTTGGCGATGAGGGGGACTCCGCCCCCCTTCAAACCCCCCAAACACAAACAAAAACGAGTGTTTGGGGCCTAAATAAGGCATTTTTTCATCATTTGAGACAACAAAAAAGGGGGGGGGGGTGAAAAAGGCGTTAAAAGGCGTGTATATGAAGTAATGGGTTAATAGGGTTTAAGAAAGCATTCCAATGCCATTTAGGGCATTTTCTATGTGAGTACACCCATTGGGTCCACAGTTGAATTTGTTTTGCGCCGGTAGTCCTTTCAGGGGACCCAAAGTGCAGTGCGCAAGAATCGTTTAATTTTTGAGTTATTGCCCTTTGTTAATTTTTATACTTTACTTTTGTCCGGGCCCATTTCTCCTAAACTATAATAGCTATGGACTTGAAACTCTATAGGATAAAAGATCTCATTAAGAAGAAGTGCAGTGCACAAGAACCAGCGCTCTGCAATTTTTAATTTTTGAGTTATTGCCCTTTGTTAATTTTCCTACTTTATTTTTGTCCCAGCCATTTCACTGAAACTATAAAAGATATGAACTTGAAACTTCATAGGATGATAGATCTTATTGATAAGAAGAGCAGTTCAGTAGAACCGGTACTCTGTACTTCATGATTTTATTGCCCTTTGTTAATTATATTATACTTTATTTTTGTCTGGCCCAATTCTCCTACACAATAAAAGCTATTCAAGCTACATCAATCCTGATGTAACATGTTTACAATCATTTTAAATGCCACTAAAGTTCAAGGTACATGTACATTATAAGAGTGGTGTTTATAAATAACCAATAGTTAAGAAGGATATGCCTAGACTAGTGACAGCTGAACTGTTCACAAGGCAACACATTCGAATTGCGGAGTTCTAGTTTCCTACTTGATCTAATTTTTAACATTAAACAAAGAATTTTCAAATTGGATACACCCAAAAGGGTGGGGGAAAACACTCATGATTTATATTATCTAATCACTGTTTGTTGTTTTATGTTACAGAGGAGAGAGATAAAGATAGACCTAGAAGGTCAAGGTCAGGGTCTGCTTCAAGGTCAAGGACTAAAAGGTCAAGAAGTAGGGACAGAAAGAGGAGGTCAAGGTCACGTGAGAGGGGAGAAAGAGCAAACAGAAAACATAGGTCTAGAAGGTGAAATATTTATCAATTATGACAAATTGGCATTGTTAGGTTTTAATTTAAGTGATAATAGTATGTGTATAAATCAAATCAACATTATAATCAAGCGCTAAATAATCTCTTTTAGTAGCCGTATTAATTGATTGAGACAATTAATGAAAAAAATTGACTAGTTAAAAACAAATCATATTTATGTCCTGTTTCAATATTTGTATAGATTATTTACATTTGAATAAATATTATATATTAGTGTTATTTATTAAATAGAAGTTCATACCTAATAAGAGAATGTGACTCTTTGTTTTAGTCGCTCAAGGGAAAGAACTACAAGAAAAAAGAAACCCTACAAATATTGGGATGTCCCTCCACCGGGATTTGAGCACATGACCCCAATGCAGTACAAAGCATTACAAGGTTAGTATGATGGTCTGTGACCCAAGGTATTTTATCTCTAAATAAATTTTTGGTGATTCCCTTTACCAGCCTTTTGATATGTTAAATTAATGAATCGTATGTCATGATTATCTTATTAAAAGAACATTGTTGAACTGTCAAACCACTGTTACTGTCTGCCAGTGTATTTGAGATCATTTTTTGTTTGAAACTCCAGATATTACTATTTGATCTTTCTCTATATTAAATTGAACTTTTGATGATTCGGATTAAACAACTGGGACTACATGCATGTGAACATCAAAGATTGACCAATTCTTTTCAGGGCTTTTTTTCCTTCTATAACAGGGGCCGATATAAGGCCCCTTCACAATTCAAAATTGTACTTTTTTTTCACAAAGTGGCAGAAAAAAATTCACAATTTCAAAAGAAATTTCACAAAATATTGGGACTTTCTCTTTGAAATACATTGTTAACCCTCCAGTTAATCATGATTTACGCCAATTTCAAGAACACAGAAATAGTTTTAATCAATTTAAATGGTTCAAGCACATGTTAAGTTGGTTAAAGTACCGATTTGAAGACATTTTCCGGTTTCATAATGTCACTAAATGCCAATTAATATGTAAATTTTTTTTCACAATTTTATGACAAATCGCGCTTTTTTCACAAAATGAACAGGTCCAGGCCCCTTCACAATTTTGACAAAAAACGCCCTGCTTTTGAAGGGTCGGCAAAGTCATCTCAAGTGTAGATTTCATACATAATAATTGTACCCCGCCTTTTCGAAGAAAAAAGGTGGATATAGAAATAGGCTCCTTCCGTCTGTCCGTCACACTTGCATGTCCGGTCCATTACAGACTTCCCGAAATACGTCGGTCCGACGGACATGTCCGATAAATTTTGATCAGGTCCGACGAGTTTTTATTCCGGATCGGTCCGACTGTCCGGCTTTTATCCAAGCCGCATGTATACAAAATGGCGTCGCTAAAGGTGCCAAACCTTGGAAAAATAAAAAATCTACGTCAGAGGAACAGGCAGAACAGCAGTAAAAGGATAAAAAGAATAGACCTGAGACAAAATTTAATGAAAAATAGAAGCAAGACAGTGAATCGTTGGTGTATGATAGGGAGGAGATGAAAATGCGCTGTAAGGAATGTGCCGATTTTTACGGCGAAAAAATTAAAAACAAAAAGTGTCTTAGAAATACAAACACAAGTCATTCTTTGATTTTGATAAATTTTATTTGGTCCGACAGATTTTTG